CTATCGGGAGGAAGTGGGAGAGGAGATGTTGCATTGTGCTAAATAGTGGTCAATGTCATGAGACAAAGTGTATGTGATCTGCTGTATGGAAAGTGTATTTGCTCTGTAAATTTTCACCCAAATCACAATAAAAATTATTAAAAAAAAAAAGAAATGATGCTGGTCAGACTGGATATTCATTTGCAGAAAAAGGAAACAAGATCCATACCTCACACCATACCCAAAACTGAACTCAAGGTTGATCAAAAACCTGAATGTAAAAGCCAAAAGTATAAAATTAATAAAAGATAAACAAATTTAGGGGCCTGAATTTATGGCATAAATATACTATCAAGTATAATCCAAAATACCCAAACCACAGAAGAGAAACTAGATGACTGGTAACTTCTAAAAATTAAATTCTTATGTGTATGAAAAGATTTCTCCAAAATAGTAAAAGGAGAATCTACAAATTGGGAAAAATGTTTGGCAACAACATATCTGACAATGGACTTATCTCAAAAATTTATAGAAAATTTCAACACCTCAACATCAAAAATCCACTTCAAAAATGGACACAGGACATGAACAGACAGTTCACTAAAGAAGATATTCAGGCAGCCAACAAACACATGAAGCAATATTCAGGATTATTAGCCATGAAAGAGATGGAAATCAAAACAACAATCATCTTACCCCAGCAATAACAGCAAAGTTCAACAAAAGAGAAAACAAATGCTAGTGAGGGTGTGGAGATATTGGAACTCTGATACACTTCTGGTGCGACAGTAAAATGGTACAACCATTGTGCAAAATGACATGGTGCTTCCTTAGAATATTAGAAATGGAAGCATCAATTGATCCAGCAATCTCATTGCTAGGAATATATTCTAAAGAGGTGAGATCTTGGACACAGGTAGATATTTGCACACCCATATTCACTGCAGCACTGTTAACAACAGCAAAGAGATGGAAGCAACCTAAGTGCCCATCAACACATGAATGGATATCCAAACTATGGTACATGCACACAATGGAATACTATGGAGCATTAAAGAATAATGAACAATCAGCAAATCACCTCATAACGTGGAAGAACTTGGAAAGATATTATGCTGAGTGAAATAAGTTAATCACAGAAAGACAAATGTTATATGAGTCTATTATTGTAAAAAGTCAAGGAATGGTTTACACAGGGAAGGACATTTCTTTTGTAGGTTACCAGGCATAGGAGGGGAGGAATAGGGAATGGAAATAGATGCATAATTAAGATACAGGTCTGATATGGGTGAAGGGAAAAGCAATATAACAGAAGTGTGTGACTAGCACAATACCACTAAGGAAAAGGAAGACACGGAAAGGTGCACATAAGGTATAGACAACAAAGACAAATACTATTGCATACACAATACTGCATTATCAGTCATATCAAACATTAATCTATGGGTGAATACATAGATAAACATGTATGGATAGGTAAATGGGAATGTACCCACAACCATACATAGGTTTGGCAGATGATATTCCTACATATGTATTTGTATGTGCTATGAAAATGTCCATATGCTATTTAAACATAACAGGAGCCAAAATTCAGATAGCTTCTTAGTCACAAATAAGCACCTCAAGGGAACAGGTCACTGGGCCTATGGGCTGTAGACAGTAGTCATGAGGGACATTAAGCTCAACTGGCACAATATGGTATATAAAAATATTGTTCTACATCTTACTTTTGGTGAGTAGCAACTGGGGCCTTAAAAGCTTGCAAGTAGCCATCTAAGTGGCAACTATTGGTCTCTCCTTACCCAGAGGAAAGAAGAGTGAAAGAAAACAATGATGCATACACAGTGTTAGTCCAAGGACTAACTGACTATAAGAACTTCAACCCAGAGACCAGAACTCAATGGTGCTTGGCTACCAATGCCAACTACTGAAAAAAGTATTAAAATTGGAGCTCTTCTATAGAGTAGATGATGAATGTGGCACAAAACTCAAAATCATAAAAAAGGCCAGCCTTACTGGTCTGACAGAGAATGGTAACTATGGCCCCAAGACAACCGTTCGGCCTGGAACTGATCTCACTCCCATGGCTTAACTCTCAGCCAAAGGATAGACAAGCTAAACAACTGCATCAAGGAGATGTACTCCTTAGAACAATCAACTATGGAGGATCAGAAGGGCAGCATTTGCATAGGAATAAATGTAGGGAAACATGAATGCATAGGCAAGAAAAACATAGCGAAAGGATAACCAGAGGGAGGAAGTGGGAGGTGAACTGTTATATTTTGGGGAATATAACCAGTATCAGAAAACAAAGTTGAATTTAAAATAATTCTGCTTTGCAAAATTTAAAAGGGAGCATGACACCTGAGCGATATCAGACAAGGTCATCTGTACAGTTCTCTTGGGACAGTCTATTGCAGTAACTTAAATATTTAACTGCAGCATCCCTTCCAGAGACCCACATTCCTGGATAATTTAGAGTATGCTCAGGGATGTGCTCATTGTCCTGTGAGATTGAATGTGAAATTTACCCTGGGTGTAACTGATGGTGAAAGGGGTGGGTTGGTTTTGGTCGTTCATTGTATAGGAAAAACCAGGAGTGGGTTGAGGTTTTCCAGATATCAGTGGTAAATTGTAACATCCTCCAGGTTTTCTATATTTAGGATGAACAGGGCTAATCTGTTTTGGTTCCATTGGTTGCTCAAATTTCCCCAAGGACCTTACTCAAGACAGTCTCACTGTTGAATTGGAGGCGGGAGGGGTACGTTTTCAGTAGAAATGCTAGCTGTTTATTCTCTCAGTAACTTTCTGCCATATATTCATCAATCCATACATCCACCAGTTCATGCTTCAGTTTTTGGCACATACAAAGAAATAGGCACTAAGCTTAGCACTGTTGTTGTTGTTAAATGCCATCTAGAAGGGGCTATCCAGACCAAACCAAACCAACAAACCCGCTCCCATGGAGTACATGCGGACTCATAGCAACGCCATAGGACAGAGTAGAACTGCCCCCAAAGGGTTTCCAAGGCTACAAATCTTTACAGAAGCAGATTGCCTCATCTTTCTCCAGTGGAGCAGCTGGTGGGTTTGAACCGCCAGCCTTCTGGTGAGCAGTCAAGTGCCTTAGGCACTATGCTACCAGAGCAGCTGGATTCAAACCGCAGACCTTTCCATTGGCAGGGGAGCTTTTTAACCACTGTGTCACCAGGGCTCCTTAGAATGGGCTACGGATGTTTTTTATGGTAGATACTTTGAGGCATGGATTTAAGTTAAAATTCTACTTTACTACCATTTACTGAAAGACCTGTCATTTTCCCATTACCCCTTTGATTACCTAATATTAATTGTGGAAATTATGCATATCAGGCTCTGCCTGTGGGCTTTCTAGTCTTATCTAGAGACTTGTTTTGTGAGTACCAGAATATTTAAATCACCGTGGCGTTAAATACGTTTTAATATCTGATAGGGCCAGTTCCTGCGCATTGCACATTTTTTTTCCCTTCAGGAACATGTTCGGCCCGCGGCAGGGGGCGGGGTCGCGCCTCCTACGCGACTCTGATTCCAGCGTAGCCTCAGAGACACGGAGATGGAAATCCCGAGGTTACTCTCGGCTCGTGGGGCACTACAAGGCGGCGGCGGCGGCGGCGGGCCCGCGGGCAGCGGGGTGCACGAAGGACCCGATCCACGGGCTTGCCAGGCCACCGCGCGCCGCCTCCTACCGCTACGGGGCCCCCAAGATGGCGGGCCCGGGCAGCGGCGCAAGCAGGCCTGCGCGGCCTCAAAGGGCCCGGGCCCGAGCTCGCTGGCGCCAAGGCCAGATCAAGCTAGCAGCAGCGACGACTTCTTCCTGGTGCTGCTCGACCCGGTGGGTAATGACATGGAGACCGCGGGCTCCGGCCAGGTCACAGGGCCGGTGTGGAGGGAGGAGGCCGCGCCAGGCCCGGGACTCCGGGGGCGCGAGCGCGGCGCGAGCCTTGCAGACCTCCCTGAGCTGGGCCCCTGCTGCTCGTCCGCGGACAATGCGCTGTCCCAGACCCTGTTTTCCGCCCCAAGCCAGGGCCCCGCGGCGGCCTTCGCTGGCACCCTCACCCTCCACAACCAAGATCTGCTGTTGCGCTTGGAGAATGGGGTCCTGACCCTGGCCACGCCCCCGGCGCCCGCCTGGGTGCCGGGGGCCGCGTCCGCCAGGCAATCTGGAGGTCTCATCTCCACGCAGCCAGGGGATCCACAGGCCATACAGCCAGGCGACTGCCCGGAGCTGCCGCCAGACGTCTTGCTGGCCGAGCCGCCTGAGCCCGCTCCTGCTCTGGTGCCTGAGGAAGGGGCAGAGGGCCCAGTTGCCGCTGAGGGCTCCAGAGGACCTCTGGGCCCAGGCCCAAGCCTGGTGTTGTACGTGTGCCCCGAAGGGCAGTGTGGGCAGACCTTCCCCAAGAAGCACCAGCTGAAGGTGCACCTGCTGACACACAGCAGCAGCCAGGGCCAGAGGCCCTTCAAGTGCCCCCTGGGCGGCTGCGGGTGGACCTTCACCACGTCATACAAGCTCAAGCGGCACCTGCAGTCCCACGACAAACTCCGGCCCTTTGGCTGCCAGGCAGAGGGCTGTGGCAAGAGCTTCACCACAGTGTACAACCTCAAGGCTCATATGAAGGGCCATGAGCAGGAAAACTCATTCAAGTGCGAGGTGTGTGAGGAGAGCTTTCCCACGCAGGCCAAGCTCAACCTCCACCAGCGAAGCCACTTTGAGCCTGAGAGGCCCTACCAGTGTGCGTTTTCCGGTTGCAAGAAGACGTTTATTACAGTTAGTGCCCTGTTTTCCCATAACCGCGCCCATTTCAGGGAACAGGAACTCTTTTCCTGCTCCTTTCCTGGCTGTAGCAAACAGTATGACAAGGCTTGTAGGCTCAAAATTCACTTACGGAGCCACACCGGTGAGAGACCTTTCCTTTGTGACTTTGATGGTTGTGGCTGGAACTTCACCAGCATGTCCAAACTCTTAAGGCACAAAAGGAAACACGAGGATGACAGGAGGTTCACGTGCCCTGTGGAAGGCTGTGGAAAATCTTTCACTCGGGCCGAGCATCTGAAAGGTCACAGCATAACCCACTTGGGCACAAAGCCTTTTGTATGTCCCATGGAGGGCTGCTGTGCCAGGTTCTCAGCTCGCAGTAGTCTCTACATTCACTCCAAGAAACACCTGCAGGATGTGGACACGTGGAAAAGTCGTTGCCCAGTCTCCACTTGTAATAAACTCTTTACCTCCAAGCACAGTATGAAGACACACATAGCCAAAAGGCATAACCTCAGCCAGAATCTCTTAGCTCAGCTAGAAGCTGCAAATTCTCTTACACCCAGCAGTGAACTTACCAGCCAGGGACAAAGCAATCTCAGTGATGCAGATCTTGTATCTGCCTTCTCTGATATGTCTGGCAATAGTTCTGCTGCAGTGTTGGACACAGCCTTGATGAATTCTGGAATCTTGACTATTGATGTGACCTCTGTGAGTTCAACGCTGGCAGGGAACCTCCCTCCTATTAATAATTCCTTAGGGCAGGCTGTGGACCCTCGGGCCTTGATGGCCACGAGTGACCTTCCTCAAAGTCTGGATACCTCTCTCTTTTTTGGAACAACGGCTACGTGTTTTCATCAGAGCACTTTAGATATGGATGTCCCAAGTCTAAGTGCAGGGCCATCGGGATCTCTGGGCTCTTTGGCTATAAAAGACTGTAGTCAAGAGTCCCAAGCACTGACCCCCAGCAATAAATTAACAGTGGACACAGATGTTCTGACTCCTTCAAGCGCCTTTTGTGACAATGGTGTCTCAGAACTCCTCACACCAACCAAAGCAGAATGGGACGTACATCATGACTCTGACTTCTTTGAACGGGAAGAAGAAACCCCATTTGGGTTCTCCAGTCCAACAGGAAGCCATGGTTCTCAGAAAGAAACAGATCTTATCACAGTGACTGGAAGCTCATTTTTGGTGTGAACTATATTCATTTCACACAGTGGCTTACAGTGTTGAGGATATTCTGTGCTAAATGTATTTAAATGCAGTGATTTCTTGTTGGTTTGCAAAAGAATAGATCTCTGGACCACAAGTTAGAGATTTAAATTCTGATCTTGAGCCTGTAACTGACATGTTTTGTGACCTTGAGCAAGTCACATAACTCAATCTGAGCCTTAATTTCCTTATTTATAAAATGAGGAGATTCTCATAGTTTCTAAGGTCCTTTTCAGCTATGTGATTCCCAGACTATATGTTGTTTTTTCCTCCTTGAAAATAATTAGGACGTTTTTCACTGATGCTACTGCTTTTGCTTTTATTTCTCTATAGATATTTCAAACATGCACAGCACCCAGCTTCAACAATTACCAATTCATGAAAGGTCTTTTTAAGCTACACTCCACTCACTCCGCCTCCTCCAGGATTATTTTGAAACGCTAGATCACATCATTACATTGGTACCTATCAGTATATGTATCTAAAAAGTATGAGCTTCTTTGAAATACTACTGCAATTATATTATCACATTTAAGAGTAACAGTAATTACAAATATCAGTAAACATACAGTCAGGTTTCAGATTTCTAATTGTCTCATAAATGCCATTTGTTTGAACATTTTTTGTAATCTTGATTCCTATAAATCTCTTGAGTGTTTTTTAGTCTGTATGTTTCCTTTTTATCTTTTTTTCCTTGTAATTTGATTTGTTGAAGAAATGAGTTTTTTCTTTTGTAGCTGATTACAAGAGTTTTGCTGATTACATCCCTGTGTTGGTAAGTTCCTCTACCCTCTATATCCTCAAATGGAAGTTGGATCTAGAAGGTTGATAAGATTGAAATAGGATTGTTGAGGGAAAGAGTATTCCATAAGTGTTGTTGTGTTCTTTTATTAGATTGCACATAATGCCTGATTTTCTCTCTTTGTGATTGCAGCTGATGATTGATGATTATTGTGTTTCTGATGTGATGAATTGTCCCTATATAGTACTAATCATCAGGGAAGGAAGAAATCCTGTTTGAGGTATTTATTAAAGGTTAAAGGAAATAGTAGTCAATCACAAAACATTTTCTTATGTATAGTAGTTCTAACAAGAAAAAAAATGTGTTGGCTGTTTTCATTGTTAATATGTCTTTTGAAGATGGTAAGCTGTGGTGGTGGTTTAAAAATGCCAGCCAGAGCATCCCCATGAAACAGACCTAGATTCAAATTTGAGCTCTGTGGTGTTGGATAAGTGACCTTTGGATATGTTAGTTTCACCGAACCTCAGTTTCCTAGCTATAAAATGTTTATAGAAATGCATGTACATACCTAGCACAGCTTAGGCTTTTCTTTGTCAGTTTTTCATGTGTCAGGGAAAATATATGTTTTGGCATGTTTTGGTGAATTTGTATCATCTTTTTTACCCTTTCAGTCTGTCCTGCTCTAAAGGAGAAACTAGGATCATGTAATCCTATTTATTTATTTTTTTGTAATCCTATTCGTGTGCAAACAATAAAAATTTATAAAGGTTAGGGGTAAACAAGAACGTGGATCTCTTTTCTCTCCAGTGAATAATTTATCAAAAAACAGTTTTGTGAGGAAATGCCAGGAGTGTAGACATTGCCCATATGTGCATCTGTATACTTCTCCATTTGATGACTTTGTCTCCATTTTAGCTCTGCTTTCAAAGTTAGGCTTCATTGAGAATATAGAACTTGATTTTCCATAAAAATCTTTGATAATGGAGCAGAGTAGTTTTCCTCCTCTCTGTGCTCTGGAGAACTCATTATTTTCACTTTCAATGGAAGGAAAGATTGAATTTGAATATTGTGTAAATAATTTGTCATATATGAATGTAACATTTTGTAGTTTGTGGAGCATATTCATAGCTAGTGTCTCATTTGTTGTTCAGAACAACCCTGTATGGTAGTTTTGGAAAAGTCTGTGCTATGACTTATACTACAGTTTAGCGAACTCCAACCGGGCTTTGGCGTGACTGACAATTCTATATGTAGCTTAAAGCAAGGAGGAAAAATTCTTTCCACCTCTCCCATTCCACCCATTCAACTTTCATGATTCATTCCTATTTCATAAATACTTTTAGTTGCTGTTTTCTACATTAATTGGTTTCTGTTACCTTCTGCTTACTTTAACATTCTACTTCCTTGCATGTGTATTCCAATCCTTGCCATACCTTTGTTTTTTTATTTTTTTAATGGATAATTATCTTTCCTGCTACTACCCCTCAGCCACTGTCTTCATGGCCTATTTTCTTCCAATGATAACATTTGATGAGTGTGCATTATAAGTCTATGTGTAGAGTAAGAAGTTATTTTCTGAGTTTACATGATACTGTGTGTACGTAAGACTCAGATGATAGAGATTATTTTATATATTGCTCAGATTAGAAGTGGATTTCTGTTTCTTTATTTCCATTTAAAAAAAAGTTTTGTCAAGGAGTTCTGCTAATACTCTTATTTGTTCTAACAAGTAACAGTGTACTACTAGTGGTTGCATGTGGATGTGTGTGGATGACAGTTACTGTAGAACTTTGGGAGTACACTAAAATTTTTCCACTTTAAAATGTATTTGCATGGTATACATTCACGCACTGACACACGTTTTTTTTCATGGTTGCATTCATTAAGTGAAAAAGCAAAAGTTAGATACACATATGTAAATCTGAGAAATGATGAGAATTTTATTGTGTCTACCCATTCAACAGCTTTCCCTCTTCTCTTTGGATATAACTTGTATTCAAAAAGTGCATTTCAAAATTATATTGTCATTCATTTGAGGCCTTTTAAATAGACCACTATTTTTTGTTTCCTCCAGATAAATATGTCAAGGATTGAGATAAATACGTAAGTCCCAAACATGAAATAAATTATTTAAATATGAAGAGAATTTAATACTTGTGACTTCATTTATTTAATCCCTTACACAACTCCCTCCAATTAAAAATAAAATAAAATAAGCTATATTATTTCCTGCTCATTTCTGTAATTTTCAAAGGATAAATAGTACTGTCATCGAAGATCAAACCTTTGATTTGCCCATGGGTTCACAGAGTTTCATTGAATAAACTTGTTGATATGATTTTTCTTTCAACATTTTCTAGCATAATGGTAGACAATAGTTTTATACTTCTAAAGTAAGAAGTTTAATTTCTGTTGATGATGATGTAAAATTGCCATCTTTCCTTTTAATAATGGTTTATGTTTTAATTTCAGTCCATTTCCTTTCTGCTTCTCCTCAGTCATTGGTTCATTAAAAAAGCTACTTCTTAAAAACACAACAGCACGATCATGTAAAAAGAAGTCTTTTTCTAGAGATTCTATTAATCACTTTGGTCACGAGTTTTAAATATATTACTGTTGGCATTTTTACCAAGTAGTGTAATTAACATAAAAGCATAAGTATCAAAAGTGAAACATAGATAACTGTTGAGGTTTAATTGTCTCTCTGACCTAAACTCTTCATGATCATATCTAGGAAACATGAGAAGGCAATTTGTTTTCTGGAGATTCCATTATATTTATTTGAAATTCACTAATATTCTCTTAGAATCACTGAGCAAAATGCAGCATAATGTATTGAGATTTTATGGAAGAGGAGTATGCAACCCAGACCTTTAAGAAGATAACAATTGATGGAAAGAGATACAAAAATTTATAATGTGCAACTGGAAAAAGATAAAAAAAGTTATTAATTTGTTACCAAAATGACTGAAAGGAAAACTCAGTAGGAATAATGAGAAGTTTATTCTAAGCACACATGGCAGCCAGTGATCATATTTCAATAGAGTGGTCAGATCATGAAAATACTGTTTTAGAATGGTTAATGTAGGAGTACATACAGAATAGATGGGAATAATTCAGCGAGGAAGTTTTTCTAGGAATCCAGTTGTGCTATGATGAAGTGTGAAGTCTTGTGTAGAGTGGTGTAAAATGGGAATGGAAAAGATGAAGCAGATATTGGAGATATTTTAAAATTAAGGATGGAATATTAGCACCTCAATGAAGAAAGACGATAGATAACATGTATATCTAGAGACACAGATATAGAGAAAGAGAAATCAAGATTGATGACTGTAAGTTTCTTTGGGGACTATAATCACATTTCACCAACTTGAGGGAAGTAGTGAACAGGATCCTTTTTGGGAATGAGTGTATAAAGATGGCATATTTAGCTGAATGAAAACTGGTTAATCTTAGTTATCCCTGTGTAAAATACCCATATTGAAGTTTACCCACTTTTTTGAAGACAATAGAGGGTCACTTCCTCTTTCTTGGTTCCCTGAGGCATGCTCAGAACTACCTATTAAATTCTGATCCTCTTAATCTCCTTTGAATTACCAGAGCCCTCCTCCCCTTGCTTGCATAATCTAGATCTCCACTGTCTGCTATGGTATCTATTAGTCGGATGTAGCTATTGAGCACTTGAAAGATCTCTAGTGTGACTGAGAAACTTAATTTTCAATTCAATTTCATTAATTTTAATTTTTAAGCCAATGCCAGTATAAACTATTTTGCTGTTGTTGTTGTTAAACGCAACATCACTGCTTTGGCAGAATTAAATTTTATTTAATCATTGAAAATTTAGTATTCAAATTGAGATATGCTGTGAATGAAAAAAACAGAAAAGATCTTGAAGATTTAGTAAAGAATAAAACTCAGTATTTTTATTTTGTTTACATGTTGAATAATATTTTGGAAATATTTGGTTAAATAAAATGTATTATTAAAATTAATTTTACCAGTTATTTTTTTACTATTTTAATTTACTAGAAAATTATGGAGCTCTGGTGGCTCAGGGTTTAAGGCATTTGGCTGCTAACCAAAAGTTTCGAACCCACCCTCCTTTCCCCAGGAGAAAGATGAAGCAGTCTGCTACAGATTTGAAAATGCTGTGGAAGAGTCCTATTCTGTTCTAAAGGGTTTCTGTGAGTCAGAATAGACTTGATGACAGTAGTTTGGTTTGGTTTTACTAGAACACTTAAAATTATGCATGTGGCTTTCATTATATTTTTATTGGACAGCATTTATCAAGATGGTACATTAATTCTCCAGTCTACTTTGCATCAATTTGAGCTGTGCTGTATCTGCTGTTCATTCGAAAACCAAAAACCCACTCAAAGTTTCTTATGT